TTCTGTTAACGTCAGAGCAAAGGCGCCGTTTGTGCAGGAGCACGGCCTACATCCGTTGCCGCCTGAGCGGGGGAGGGTCATTTCTGTGATGTCACCTGACGTAGGCACGGGTGGAGCGTGTGTTAATGTCGCTGACCGTCAGTTTTTATCTGATGAAAACAGACGATGTATTAAAAATGGCGAACGAGAACAAAGATGAAGTTTTCATCAACGAATAAAAGCGAGATGAAAACATCTGCAGAGACGAGAGCCAATCACAGATGATTGAGCTGTGTAGCAGGGTGGGCGAGTTTGGAAGCGATCCAATCAGAAGCAGCCTCTACAGCTACTGCTACAGCTAATGAGACGCTTCGTAAACCGCGTGGAGCGGCCATCACCGGGGGTCATCTTCTGATGTTTAGTCTAGGAGGAAACTTCATTCAGTGTTCGACCTTTGACCTTTGGTTTAATTATCCTCTGCACAGACTCGAGTGAGCGCCACGAGTCAGCTGGGTTTGACCCCGACCGATTCAATGATCATTACTAACGACGTTGCTAAAGTTAAAACTGGTTTGTGGGGTAAACGGCGGTGAACTCTGGGGTGATGACGCGTGTCAGAGCGCCTCGCCTTCGTCCTGGTGTTCAGGAACATGAATGAGTCATAACCCAGAGTTTTGTAATCTGATTGGCTGCTCTGTCTGCAGACTTTGACCTGGAGCGAGCGCTGTTGCATCAGACACTGGAAAACATGAGCAGCGGTCACGCCGGGTTCGTCACATAGCACGCCTGATTTCCCTTTAACTCCTTCCTGTCTGTCTCCTCCCCCCTCCTGCAGCTCTTCAGCCAGGATATCCTGATGAAGTTTGTTCCCCGGTACAGTTTGGTTGCAGAGCTCCACGACGGTGGCGTGTGCACGCGGAGCTTCCACGACCCCAACGGCCTGGTTGCAGCCTACATCAGCGAGGTCCACGAGCATGATGGGAATCTGTACCTGGGCTCCTTCCGCTCGCCGTACATCGCCAAACTCGACCTCAGCAAGGTGTAGAAGATTCAAAAAGACGACGCGCAGACAGACATTTTTGTGACTTGTTAACACGGCGTTAACCCGTTCCAGCCTTGGAAATATCCCGAGAATGACTTCACCCAGCGCCACCTACAGGCTGTCCCAGGAATTGGGCGGCGTTCCCATTTTTGGCTAATCTCTGTTGATTTTTCCTTTTCAGATTCATGCAGCTTTAGATTTAGATTTTTTTGATAATTTCTTCCCGTTTCGACGGTATTTTGTTTGACTGCTATGTTTAGACTTTTTATTCAGAACAAAAGTGTCCAGACAAACGAGGTTTGTGTTTCTGCTTTTGTCGTTTCTTCACTGAAAACCACTGCGACTACAGCGTTCACCTGCTAGCTAACTCAAGCTAACTAAAGCATACGCTACCTAATGGATTTAAGCTAGCACGTTAGCTTGTGGCCTATTTTATACTCTTAGGGGCGGAGTTTGTTCCCTTCAGTCATAGTGCAGGCTTACAGATGCTTTGATTAGCAGTTAGCCTGAGCTAACCTAGCTGCCTCTGACTAACTTTGTTTACACAGAAGAAGAGCGGTTACTCACCGTGATGATCAACTTCCTGCTAACGCTGATGTCAGATTACAGGCTGCTTGAGTAACTGCTTCGCCCTCTTGGGACAATTTAATGTGTTTTGATTGGCTATCGTCTGCACTACTGCGCTTGCACTCTTTTTTTTTTAAATTTTATTTAATCTCACACACGTTGGGATGTGATTGTGGGTGTGTCTTTAGTGACAACCAACCAGTCACGAGAGAGGCTAACACAGGTGTGACTGAGCTAAGCTCCCTACCTGTAACTGTGCTTACGTACTACAGTGATTGATGTCACATTACAAACTGTTTAACCAATCATCTTGCCCCTCCCAGGATTTCTTTGTAATGTGATTTGATTGGCCGACAGCACTGAAATATTTATACAATAGCAGTTTGATGGGCTAGCGTCTGAACGGGTTAGCTTGGGTGCTTTGGGAGGATTCAGGCGTAGCTTTAGGGTTAGATTGATAGATGGATAGGGGAGATCTCTTGTGACAATACTAATGTAGGGATTACCTGGCAACTGCTGGTCGCTAAGGAAAAATGTGTCCTCCCAGCAGGTTGCTGGTTGTCACAAGTGTGAAGTTGGTCGCTCCAGTTTCCCATAGTGGAAGATGCTGACTGCAGATGTTAGCTAGCTAACCAGTGATGGCTCCTCTTCAAAATAAAAGCTGTCTCTATCCACAGAAACTAACAAAATGAGCACCTTTTACTTTGAAGGCACCGTTGCTTAGCGACATGTTTGAGTGTGTCCACAGAGGACTCCTCTGTTAGCGACTAAATCGATCACAAAGACGTTTTGAGCGGCTTCCTCTGTGAGTCCCGATTTCACGCCGGTGACTGTCGGTGACCTCTTGCTGCCACTCGCCCATCAGCTGGGAGCGACCAAGCTTCAGACCTGTGGCACCGAAGCTGCGTCCACACTGGAAGCAACATGGCGGCTTCAAGCCTTTCTTTTCTCAACTTCCAGACAGGTGACTGAAATCTCGTCCAATGAGAGTGCAGGATACCACTGATGAACACGGGTATGGTCTGTTTGTAGAGTTACCTGGGTAACCAGAACCGGGTGTGATCAGCTGTCACGAAACGTGGCGAGCAAATTGCTCCTGTTGTGGACGCAGCTTGATGTCCTCGCTGATCACGTCCCTCACGTTGATGTCTGGACGTCGCGAAGCGTGGACTCACTCTTTGTGTCATCTGAGCGAGTCTGAGCT